ATAATAGTTTAGCTGTAGTATGTATTATGCTGCTCGAATGAAAATGTACTTTTGTCTTTATTTGATTAATAAACTGACAATCTAACCTGACTATGGGTACTCAAAAAAAAAAAAATAAGTAATTAATAAATAATTTTCTAATTTTCTTTTTTTGAGTATCTATAGAATCAAAAGTTTATTATAAATTATATTTGTTAAAAAAACTCTTGAATTGCAAATAAATATTTTAATAAGATAATAATTTAAATATTATATAAAGTTTATAATCAATTATTATAAAATTTATATATATTTTTCTAATAAAACTTGCATGTATTGCTCATTTGCGATTAAAAAAAAAAAAAAAAAATTTATATATATTTAATTATCTCTAAATCTCAATTCAATCAAGAATTTATAAATCCTATTAAAATGGATATTAAAAAAAAATAAGCAATATGTGACTAAAATTTCATGTTCTAAAATAAAATTAATTAAAGCCTATTTTATCACTTGATTATTTATTGTCACTACTGTACATTTAAATATGCAAAAAGCTCATTAATTGACATTATTGTAAGTCAAAAGTGCAAAAGTTTCTTAGTAAGAAACCCCATGGTCAAATTGTAATGTTTCTCTTGTTAACTACACCATTTACAAATTTTTTGAATTGTTTAGCATATGAAAAATCGACCCACGAGAATATATAATCTGATGGGAACTCGCGGGAAACAATTTTGATCTGATCGCCAATTTTTTCCTAGCTTCTAGAAAGAATGTCATTGCGAAAAAAGAACCTATCTTATAGTAATCATGAAGATAAAAATGAATTATTTGTTGAACTTGTCTCGGTGTTATTACCTTCAGCCAATTCGGCCGTAACAAGATTTTTCATTCTAGGAAAAAGTACTTTTTCATCTAATTCATCTTGGGCCCAGACTAACATTTTTAACATACTAGGAAGTTTTGGATCTTTTTCTTGACTTTGAGATGTCAAAATAGCAGCATTTAGTTCACTGGCAGTACGTTGACGTTGTGAATGGTGAAGTAAATCTCCAACGGGCGATACTGCAGTATCGTCGAATGCCAACAATGCCATTGTGCGTTCTAGTTCTTCCAAAAATTCCGGCTGAAACAATTTATTTAAGTTAAAGTTATTTTCATAATCCCGTAGTATAACTAATCCAATATGAAACTTACGTTTTCTTCACCACGGGGTGCCAACTCATCCTGAGCAAACTCTAAAGCCTCAACCACTTTTCCTTGACGAATATACTCAATCAGACGTTGCTGTTGAAGATGAAAGTATAATTTTGGATTCGTATCTAATATCTGTTATTTAATACGTAATATCAAGTATTAGTATAAGATATATTCTATACTTAATTGGTTATTTGAATAGTGGACTCATATTGAAGACTGAATGAGTGAGTTGTTTTCATCACAGATACAATAAATAAATCTAAGAGTGGTGCATGAGAAATCTTCTAATCATAGTCTTGAATAAACTAAGAATAGATAATAATAATTACCTCAGGATTTAAATCGTTTACACGTTCAATTGCTTCTTCGACGTTTCCGTTTTGGATAGCGTTACGAATATTCATTCTATCCTGTATTGAATCGACATCAATACTTGGTGACAGGCCACATTCCTGACTAAACGTTTCCGCTGCATCTTTGTATCCTTCAATCACGAAATAATTCATTCAAAAAAAGATACCGACAGGACATCAATATTTGTTACACTAGTTGATGGTAATCGGAATCTTACACGAAATGAAATCAAAGCAGTTCTAGGCAAATATGAACACACTACAAATATCCATATCTATGACTACTTTCGCTCACAAAGAAGAATCAAGGACGTATTATACCATACCAACAATACAAGAACCTTGAAGAAGAATGGATGATATACACCAATACAGAAACAATTAGAGCAATATTTA